ATGTTTTAACATAGCTATTGAAAACGATACTTCATTTTATTTTAATCTTCTAACATTATCCTATGTCATATGTCGTGCGTTTCCATTACAATTCTATCATTGACTACTGCCAGTTAACATCGTCTATGATTTGAATTGAATTAAGGAGCGCACACTAATGAAGAAATATTTTAACTATAAGTCGAATATTTCTATCCTTGTTTAGCATCATTAATAAACTAATGATTAAGTAAGCTTAACATTACAAAAGAGACAAAACCATCATGTTTTGTCTGGTCTTTTAAGACATAACTCGAATAAAATGTGAAATGAATTTATAAGATTTTATTATGAAGATACTAGTCATGGAATCTTTTAATTATAAATAGAGAAAATGCGACAGAATGACCGATTTGACCAAATTATTAGTGTTCATATCGATCTGTGTTATCATCATATTATACATTAAATTTTTTGTGATTTACAAATATTTTATTTATAATACAGTTTTACTTAGCTGTGCAATAAAGAATATTCAAACATACTTAACTATAACATATTTTGTTTGGAGATTTTTGGTAGTTCTTCATTTTATCCAATTAATCAATAAATTGTTTGTTATCGATTAAAGTTAATTTGTTAATTTAGTACGATAGAGCTATCTCTGATGTGATGTCTCGTTTGATCATATTAGCAGTAGCAATGTTGTTTGCCACCCTATCTGAATACTACAATTTATTATTACTTAATATGGAAATATGATGACCAAATATTTCTTTGATAATTGTTTTTTTGATTATCCAAAGATGAATAATAAATAAAAAAATTTTAATGATAACAACGAAGAAGTATTTTCTTTCAAGTACTTTCTAAAGAACGAACAGGAATAACACTTGAAATATATAATTAAAGAAGATTTAATTCTACCGTTTTTCAGCTATTTTTGAACGTTCAGCAAATTTTTTTGTTATTTTATAAGACTGAATTTCAGATTTTATATTATTTTTAGCTTTTTATCAAAGGATACGTAATCTTGTGTTCGTTAAACTCTTACCATATCATGCTTTCTTTGAAGACTTTTCATTTTTTTTATACTTGATTCGTAGACGTTTTTGCTTTCAGTACTATGTAATATAATAAGAACGAAAGAAGTATTGGTGCTTGATAAGTTTTCACACTATTCTGATCATGTTTGGTGTATGAAAAAGTTTATATCATTATTCGAACGACTGACACTCGCAACCATTTTTAAAAAATTGTTCTTCTTTTCTGTTATGAAGTTTTATTCAAAGTTTTGTGAGAATTCATTTCCAGTGTATTATATAATTCTTTGACAGATCGGAGTTTTTGGTGAAAATTATGATAAATTTTGAGTTCTTTTTTTTTGAATTGAGTGATGATAACAAGATAATATTAGAGTTAGCTGATATGTTGTTTTGGATCTTATTCTTGTGATATTTTTTTTCATAACGTTGAATTCAAATTAATTTCAATGAGGATATAAAAATCCAAAGATAATCAAAATGTCCATGGTTTATCAACACATATCTGAAAATAATGTCTTATTTATCGAACCATCTTTTTTTATATATGAAGAAGAAGAACATTCAAAAATATAGATAAATTTTTCTTTTCTTGATAACTTTTGATATTGTCATCTAAAAATTTAAGTTTTGGTTAGGAACGTGAATATTATTTAGTATACTTTGAAAATTTTGTTTTGAATGACATTTTTTTGGCGACGAAGAACTAAGAATAATTATATCAAAATATACAATAAGAAGTAGTTTTTCCTTGCTATGACAACAACTCAATAAACTTTCCTGTATTATCATAATCAATCTAAGTACCACTTTATTTCATCTTCTTTCTGTTGATATTTCAAATATAGTTGCCTATTTCTTAGATTATAAGAGGTAATTCTGTCTATCACAGTCTGACATGAAACGGTGAACCTTGTTGTTTGCCTTATCTCTACACATCGTAACCTTTTAGATTCGAGAGTTTTTTTATCATTATAGTTTAGAATGCTTCCTAAATCAACATTGGCGTGCTTTTCATAGAAATCTAGCTGAAATCTTTCGTTTATATTATTTTCGATGGATGTTTCATGTATATGAATTAAAAGAACTTGAGAAAATCTTTTTTTTCTTGCTATCCTAAAACTGTTGATCTACGACATCTATCGCTAAAATAGTGCTTAGAACCATTATCATCATTCCATGTACTCCAAAAAAACAATGTAGACGAAAGCTACTTATATGTCTCATGTGATTAGAATAATTGAACATATCTATCTATCTATCTTTAAAGCAACAGAACAATAAGTAAAGTTTTGTATAGTATTCATGTATGAAGCTTATTCTATAGCAACCTGAAATTTTCAAACAATTAGTAATATATATGTGGATTGTTCTCGTTCTCCTAGTAACTTCAGCTTCCGAAAAATGCCTCTGGACAAGAATATGTGCCGTGTTTAGTTAAATGCAAATCAAATAAAAGACAAAGAAAGAAAATTCCATACGAGAAAGACGAGTAGCGTATGCTTTGCAGTAAGAAAAAAAAATTCTATTAACGTTATTTTTAAACGGAAGTAAAGACTTCAACGTATTTATACTATACGTGAATGCAAAGGTTGATTGAAATTAAACAGCAATATATTCGGTAATTTTTTTAAAATATTTGTTCGATATTTATTTAATGATGTGTTGAAATATATATGCCTTTAAGTGCTTTTCTTCATCTTTTCAAAATGAAGAATAATAAATTTATTCTTTTACGCAAAAATATCTAATATCAGACTGACTTTGATTAAAAATAGATGTGATTATACTTTTTCTTCTTGAATATTGACTACTTAAATGTCTTTTGAGATAGTTGAGGATTCATTAACTTTTCATAACTTATCCTCTTGACATTACCTTAATTTTCCTTTCTATAAATATTCTTTTCTCATAGTGTAATCAATCTCATAAAAAATATAATGCATAATAGTTAAATGGAAAGCATTTACAATCGATAGTCTTTTTCTCATATCAAAATATCAATGCATTCGAAATAAGAAAAACATTGTGATCGATACGTTAAATTGAGAAAATAATGTATAAGATTTTTTAATCAGTAAAACTCGACACCTATAAGCTCATGAACTATTGTATTAAACAGTGTACAATTTTCCAAAATGGAAATAGCCTGAGTTCTCTACTATAAATTATCGTTTAAGTTTTTCAATACATTTTCTTCTATTAAATAAATATTGAGCAATTTAATTTTAATGGTGGTAAATAATATTTTCTTTTTCTTCTAGGGCAACGCTTGATAATTTTTATATTAAAATAGCAACTAAAACATCATAAAAAAATAATAATAATAAACTAGATGTTGCTGCCATTTCAGATCAGCATGGTGATTTAGATTAATTCAAATATTTCAAGGTAGTAGTGAATTGTCCTAAACTAAAAATTGTCACTTCAAAATAAAAAGAAATGCTTTCTCCTTCTCATACAATTGATCAATCACCTGCTATTAGTCATCCACCAAAACGACCTGCACCTGCATTAGGACCTTATTATCATTTTATAAAAACTGATTTAAATAAAATGTTATGGCTTGGTAGTGCATTAGTATTTCGTCATGTTTCATTCGAACGTCCAAAAATTGAATTTAATTGTATACCAAAATTAGATTATAATTGGGAAGTATTATATAATAATCTTTTCGATATGCGAATATATAGAATAAATATATCGATTGAATTACGTCAAGGAGAAGATGACGATGAAATTAAATGGAAAATTAATTGGAATGATCATATAAGCGAAGGTTTATTTCGTATTGCTCGTTATAATCAAAAATGGCGTGGAGGTTTTTTCTCATGTAATGGATTTGATGCTACAGTACCCGAAGATGCAAAATCTAAACTTAAATTTGGAAATGTATGGGATCATTTAAATTCTATTCATGCTGAAACTCCACTTCATGTTTTAATATGGGGTGGTGATCAAACTTATATTGATTTTATATTTGAAGATATTCCATTTTTAAAACATTGGGCCGATATGGAATGGAACACTAAATGGACATGTGATTTTCAAGATGATTTAAGAGAACAAGTAGAAGAATATCATTTCAATACATATGTTGAAAATTGGGAACGTCCTGAAGTTAAAAATGCATTAGCATCAATACCAAGTATAATGATGTGGGATGACCATGATATATTTGATGGTGCCGGATCATATCCACCATTACTTCATGATAGTCCTATGATGATAGGTTTATTTAAAACAGCACAAAAAATGAGACTTCTATTTCAACATCATACAACAGTAGAAAAAGCGCATGATCATGATTTATTCGGATATCAAGGATATAATTTTCTAACACATTGTGGTCCTAATTTAGCTATTATTGGTGCTGATGGACGTACAGAGCGCGACGTTGAAACAGTTCAAGATGCTAGAAGTTGGGATATGATATTTGAAAAATTAGAAAATAATATTATGAATGTATCACACTTAATCATTATCTTTCCTGTACCATTTTCATTTATTCGTTTTAAATTAACAGAAACTATTCTCGAACATTTAAAAAATCTTCCGAATAGATGTCGGAATGTTCCAATTGTTAAAAATACAAATTCAGTATTCGGTTTACCTGAACTTTATGATGATCTTCTTGATGAATGGACACATGGAGCACATATTAATGAACGTAATCGTGTACTTCAACGTTTTCAAGAAATTGCTCAAAAGAAAAAAGTACGAATAACATTTTTTAGTGGTGATGTACATTGTTGTGGTATTAGTCGTTTTAAAACTCATACGAACAATGATATAGCTCCAATACATGATAATAAATTAATGTATCAAATTATATCATCAGCTATTGTCAATTTACCACCACCTTCAATTGCTATTCATATGGCTCATTTTGGTAAAACAAAATGGTATCCTATTGAAAATACTGTAGAAGAATTAATCGATTTTTTTCAACGTTCGCCTGATACTGGAAGAAGATTGATGCATAAAAAATTACGTCCGAATAGAAATTGGTGTTATTTTGAACAATGTCAAGAAATCGATCCTTCTATTTATACTACGATTAAAAGTGGATTCTTTCATCGTCATTTTGGATCGAAAAAACAAGATTCTCCTATGATTGAATTAGATCCAACATCGAAGTCTAATGACCATAAGAGTACAGAACCACCCATACAACAACATACTCATGGGCCTGCATGCACAGATATGAGAGAGATTGAACAAGCACAACTAGAAACACATACATTGAAAATTCGATTATGGTTAGAAAGCGGAAGAAAACATAATGAAGGAAGACAATTTGCAAATTATGATTTATTAATTCCAAATTTAATCTAAACATGCACAAAGCTAGACGTTATTTTTTTTTCGAAACAATACACAACGATTTCAAGATCTAATATTTTAAAAGCTAATTATACATGTGGCAGTTCCTGATCAAGTAACTGACCTGACATTGATCATCTAGTTCCTTTTACTGGAATGGAAACCAATAATCCGTGCTTTTTTATGTGTTGGTGTTATTGAACATTTCATTGTATTATATCTATTAAATTTGTAATTGTTTCATTCTCAATTATCGAATTAAATTGTACAATTTTGGTAGAATGTATGTAAAAAAAAAACATTTTTAGAGGTAATTCGACAAGATCTATCCAACTATGACAAAAAAAAGTTTTTTCAATTAGTTTCTGATGTTCTCAAAAGCTTGTGCACTTTCAAATATTTATTTGGATGATATTTTTCGTTAGCCAAGGCATTGGTTGAGAATAGTATCTACACTACTACATAATAAATCTAAGATGGTAGCAATATAAGCAGTACTTATATATGGCTGATCATTTATCAGATCTTTAATAGCATCAATTTTTTGTTGAGTCATGACGGTTATCAGACGATCGCTTGCTTCGACGATCAGCTTTCAACGATTCTCGTCCACTTGAAAATCGATGAAGCCAATCAGCAACTATATGAAATGAAACATAGCCTTGTCCATCGGCAATAGTTAATTCATCATGAGTTTGTGTTGTAGTAAGATCTAATAACAAACAAGTTTTTATTTATGAGCATATACACAGTTTTTTCACTTGAAAATAGAGATGAAGAAAAAAATTCATTAAGAATTTTCTACAATAGACACTTGTAAAATTTTGTATTAGTAATTTAATACACAACAGATATCTCTACTAAAACAGGCCAACATTAGGAATAAAAACAATGAGAATAAAATTTTAGACTACCCTAAAAGTAGAAATCCTAATTTTCACTTTTCAATTTGGTAACTCTTCATGTGTTCAACATTTTTCTAATACGCGTTTGAGATAAACTATCATTACGAGACACTAGTTTCTATCAACGTCGCACTTCGTGCAACATGAGATGATCTTCAATCAAAAATAAAATTATCTTTGGAGGTGTATTTTAGTAAAATAAATCAATTATTATTTATACGGCAAAGCTTATCAACATTAAGTTAAGAAAATTATTTTCTTCATCAATATGAACAATTGAAAAAAGGCTAGTACATCGACAATATCACTGAAAAATGAAAACATTCAAGAGGAGAAGGTAATAATAATGTTATCTTGCGAGATAATCTGAAAAATACTCCTTTCGAAGATGATGATCACCAAGTAAATAATAATTGTTACAATCGAATCACATTCTAATGAATAATGAATGAATTTATCTAATTTTTGTTAACCAATATTTTTTTATTTCTTTTTTAATTAATAAGCAATGCAAAAGTCTTTGAAAGAACAAAGTTCACAGAGTATATGCATAAGGCAAAACAAAATGATTTTTGGAAATGTCCATTTTTAATATTATTCTCGTTCTCGATTCTCACGGTAAATGGAATGGAAAAAAAATACGGGAAAAAATCGTTTCCGCTAAACACTGCATGAGACAGAAAATAGGTAATGCCATCATTACCTAGCTCTAGTACATGATCCTTACAGAAGCGATAGACATAGAAGGAATGATTCTTGATCAAAACTCTGAGATAGATTTATCTCTAGAGTTCAAAAACTTATCTAAGCCTTTCAGAATTTCAAACTGCTAATTCTGCTGTGATCACTTGTGCATCTCTCGATGGATGGTATTAATGCTGAAAAAATGACTCGAATTCTCAATCAAATAATGAAGAATGGTGGCATTAATTCATTTTTATATTTGATTATAATGGAAGAATTCATTAGTTTTTCGCTAAATGCCAGGAAAGCATTTTTATTCTTTTCTTTCTGTAGGAAACGATGTGAAATAATGACAAAGAATGTTTTATTCAATTTGGAACAGAATCGTGAGATCTGTATTATATAAATTTTAGTTGAAACTAAGTGAAGGGTGTTTCAAACAAGAACTAGATTGGTTTTGTTCGGTTAGAAAGCAAAGTGTTTCCACTTCTGTTCTTGATTCCATCTTTCTTATCTGTATGCAAAAGACAAATATAAGAAATCTGTCTGTATGGAACATGGCGTTTTCTCCATCAAAACATTGCTTTTTGTGTGGAACACTTTATTTTCCTATACGTCAGTCTACTCTTATGACGTAATAGTACATTTTATCAACTTGCTAGACATTCTAGAGAGGGCTTGATCTGGTCTCAATTGAAATTTATATAATATAGAGTTTATGATACTTCCAGCTTGGATAAAACATTTTTATTCATTATTTCACATTATTTAATAAAGAAAGAAAAGAATAAAAAGGATCTCTTTACATTTACTTTAAAATCGATGATTCCACCCGTTATGAGAGGTCTATGTCATGCGAAAAATATTTTTATATTTCAAAATTATTATATTCTTGACTCTTCTTAGACCATCCCAGCCAGATAAATGGTTCAAAGTATATTTGGAACACAATCTTCCTAGAATAAATTAGTAATACCTCATATATTTATCTTGGATAGTTAGACCAAGACAATTATGTGTATAAGATGAAATCAAATGCACTTAGATGTCACTGATGGTCAGTTTTGGCATGGAAAAAAATTCTGTTAATATTTAATGGCATAAACAGCTATACTCTTTCGAAGAGCACCGAAATTTGCTGTGGCATAACTGCTTCGCCTCGATAGTTGACGACACCATTAGTGTATCTCATGGAATCTTAATGTTCAATATATCACATATTTTTTTCACTTTTATCATATTTTATTGGTTCGAATAGCTATTACCGTACGCTTAATACCGCTTGTCAACACTGACCTCGAAAAATTGATTTGGACAATAATATTCAGATAAAACAAAATCTTCATATCTGTTTACGAATGCGAATCATGAACATAAGAATCTCTAGAAAGATATTCTGTGTCCAGCGCCCTCTTTAGTATATTCTTAACATTGGTTCGATCATTCCATAGGTCTCAGCCTGTGTGTGTGCTACCACTATATGCACATTTTTAAATTATGAAAGATTATCTTTCAAATGAATTTATTCTACACTTTTAATTAATGTCCCTTACAATAAAAAAAGCTCGGATTCTTTCAAATATTCTATTGTATATTGAAGTTTGTAAATTTATTATCTTTTTTAGATAATTACCATCATGTCAAAAAATAAAAAACGAAAAAATCAATCATCACCTAGCAAAGCACCATCAACATCACATTCACTTTCATTAAAGAATCGTTCTTCATCGAAAGCGACTACATCATCTATCAATGGTGCTAAAATTCGTTCACAATCGACCGTTAAACGATTACAAATGTATCGTGGTGGTAAACCAAAACGTGATCCATCAGGAAGAATTGTTCAATCAGCATTATTTCAAGAACGACTTCCATCTGGTACACAAGCTCGTGTTGCACCTAATCGTCAATGGTTTAATAATAGTCGTGTTGTTACACAAACTTCATTACAAAAATTTCAAGCAGCTTTATCAACAACACTTGCTGATCCATATCAAGTTGTTATGAAACAAACTCAATTACCGGTTACATTATTAAATGAAAAAGGTAAACAAAAACGTGTTCATATACTTGATGTTGAATCATATGAATCAACATTTGGACCTAAATCACAACGAAAACGACCATCAAATGTTGCCGGTGGTGATGATATGGAAGCATTAGTAGTTCATGTTGAACAAAAACAAAATGAATATGATCAAGATAAAGATCTTGATTTAGTTCGTGAACATGATGGAATTAAACAAGAAACTATTAATCCATTATTTAAAGCTGGACAAAGTAAACGTATATGGAAAGAACTTTATAAAGTAATAAAATATTTAAGAAAGATTTTCAAATAGAATATTTTAATATTTATAGGTTATTGATTCATCTGATGTTGTTATTCAAGTTCTTGATGCACGAAATCCTGAAGGTACACGATGTCGTCAAGTTGAATCATATTTAAAAAAAGAAAAAGCTTATAAACATTTAATTTTTATTTTAAATAAATGTGATTTGGTTCCTGTATGGGTTACACAACGATGGGTAGCTATACTTTCTCGTTCATATCCAACACTTGCATTTCATGCTAATATGAGAAAATCATTTGGTAAACAAGCATTAATACAATTATTAAGACAATTTTCTCGTTTACATCAAGATAAAAAACAAATTTCCGTTGGTTTTATCGGGTAAATATATATGTATATAAAGTAGTGGACAAACGTTTCTCAGCTAGCATAGGTAGCGAAAATCTGAAAATTTGTATGCATATTATTCATCATGAATGTAGATTAGAGCCACGAGTTTGCTCTGATTGTTTAAATACAATGGAAATTATGATGGATGGTAATGAATAGGACTTTTTTTTGTTTGAACTTTGTACTTTAGAAAAAGAAAAAGTTTTATGGGTCAACTGGTCTTTCATTA